CCCCAAAACCCCAAAACCCCAAAACCCCAAAACCCCAAAACCCCGTGTCATATTTTTGGGGTTGAAAGTTGCGACACAGTCACTTCTATATAAAGATAATACTACAGAAAAGTGTAATTATATTTTCAATACATGGGTAATACCTGAACCTGAGATCCAAAAAATGATCAGCAAGAGACTAAAGTCACTCGTAGAAGAGATGTAAGCCTCAGCTAATAGATTTGTTTTAATTATTCTTAGGTTAAGGATAAGTCACAAAAGCATAAGAAAAAGGTAAAATCTGGTAAAGGAATCCCCTCTTACACAGACAATTTCACCTTAGAGTCTAATGAAGAGTCGCCTAAAACTGCTAAATCTGGGAGGAAATCTTCCCAAAGTTCCAAAAAGAAAAGGAAAAAGTGTAAAAATAGAGGTTCAAAGCAAAAGAGTGTACTGAAAGACAGTTCTTTGCAAGTGATTTCTTCTAACTCGCATGAAGACTCTAACAAAGTCAGCACAGTTCAGACCACTCAGAACACTCTGACTGGGCAACCTGATTTCGAAATAGCTGAGAATCTCGAGAACCTCTCCGAGATCGATGAAGGTCTTGATGCGAGTAAGCTACTGTTTCTTATGAATCTAGATGAACTTGCACTTGACGGGACAGAAAGTAAAAAGTATACCAAGACTGCTTACGAAAAGGCGGAGATCATGCATGCCTGGATCACCGATAAGGTATGGAAGAAGAACAAGACCAAGAAAGGAGTCACTCTTATGACTGCTAAGGGTGATAATGGAGGTTTTGCCAACTACCAGACCACTGTGATCAATGCTCCAATGGATAGATGAGTTGAATTGATTCAAGATTTTGACAATCATTACAAAGCTAACCAAAAGCTTGAGGAGGTCAAGGTTCTAGAAGAGCTAGATGGGCCTGATGGCAAGTACATCCAGAATGCCTTAGTTCAGGCTAGATACATGAAAGGAAACTTTGTCATAAAAGCAAGAGAGTTTATTCTGTACAAAGGACTAATTTCCCCCAAAAATGACGAACGTATCATTGTGATTTATTCTGTCGAGCATCCAGATGCGCCTAGGAATAAGAAAAAGATCAGAGGTGAATATGAAGGCATGTATTGGTTTAAGAAGATCTCTGAAGATCAAACCGAACTCCAGATTGTCTCTGAGTTCAAGCTTGGTGGAAGCATTCCCAATATTGTCATCAATATGGTCCAAGGTCAGAACATTGAGGAGACTATCTACTTCAAGAAAATAATGGAGAGCGCATAACGATACGTATGCTGTCAAAATAGTAATCATCAGGTTTCAAATTTGAGTGAAGATCATGGGGTTTTGGGGTTTTGGGGTTTTGGGGTTTTGGGGTTTTGGGG